TATCTATTTTGTTGGCTCATCTTCTCTGCCCGAACTCCGCCACCGAGCCGAACTTCAGCGACTACTATGATTACGAGCCGGAGCAGATGCGCGAGCCGGTGAGTCTGAGAGCAGAACCGGTGCCCGGGTCAGCTGGCACCGATCACGTTCACACACGGGTTTGGGTTTTCAGGACCAGGTCCCGTTCATCAAGGTGAGTTTGTGTTCTACTCTAAATGAGGAACGTGAGTGCCAAAACCCAGAGGAACGAGTCCTAGTCCTGCAGATGTTCTACAGATGTGCTCAGGCTGTCAGAGAACTCTGGGTCAGTGAACCGGACCGGCTCTAATGACAGCACATGTCGCTGGTTCTGAACTGGCTGTTTAGGTCTGGATCTGACTGGGCCAAGTTGTAGTTGAAGGGCTCTGGACCGGATCAGACAGAACTGCTGCTGTAAACGAGCCTTGTATCCTGGATAGGCCCCTAGACAGGTGTGTGTGGAGCAGGCAGGGGCGCAGCTAGCTCTTACAAGTGTGTGGGGTGCTGGCATTTCACTGATTTATATATGAGTTTTTTTCTGATATAAGTATATCATTAAAAAAAACCTCATGTAGCTTTACTTCTCTTAAAAACATAACCACTAACGTGGAACTGAATACTGAAGTTAACAGCTGAAGAGGAGTAATAGGAATACACACCAGAACACAGCAGCATTACCCTTGTTGTGATGGTGTGTGTGTGCGAGTGTGTGTGTGCGAGTGCGTGCGTGTGTGTGTGTGTGTGTGTGTGTGTGTCAAAGGTTTGACAAGTTAGAAGAGTTGCAAGCAGTGTTTGTGGACTGTGTGAAACCTTCAAATCTTGTCCTTCCACTCATTCCTGGATTTCTGGGTCAATCCTTCTCAGATGCCAACTGGATGAGGGTGGCTTTGTGCTGATGAAGCATTCTTAGCCGATGGTCTGGGAGGACATGTTTAAGAGTGGAAAATGAATGCTGGCTCCAAAGGTCAGTCCATGTTTCAATGCTGTGAAGGCGGTAGGCATTGCTTCCAGTGGCCTCTGGAACTGTTTCAGAATCTGTACGGAAAGGATTGAGAAATACGCTTGAATAACCGTAATTATGATTGTGATAGAGGTGTGAATCTTCACTTGTCTCCCGATTCGATTACGATTATTTGGTCAACGATTCGATTCGATATCCCGATGCATCACGATTATTTCATATTGATTTGTTTTCATCGATAAATAGAAGATGTCAGATAATTGCTTTTTATTTTTATTTGATCAAAAACGTAATTGACACAACCTGCCATCCCTCAAAAGCTCTCCATTCACAGGACAAAACATTTTAAACATTTAAGAAGATTTAACAAAGTAAAACATCTGTTTCCTCGTTCAACACCACGCCTCAGGCTGAAAAAAACACGCTTTGCAAAAACTCACAAAATCTGAAAAAGTACTGAAAACCTACAGGACACATAATGTAATAATAAAATACATAATGGGTTCATATAGGAGTGTTTAATGTCTCTGAGCAGCTTTAGAGTCAAATATTTATGCCACAGTTGAAGGGTGGCATTGTTAGAAAAAATATAGGTGTTTAACCTCCTTGTTAAAAAAAGCGTGGGTATTTAAAGGGGCATTACGGAAGTTTGACAGCCAAAACATGTATAGAAATAATACATTTCTTCTTCATACATTCTCCTGCAATGCCCTGGTCCTGTAGAATGAGCCCTGGCATTTTTACTGTGATTGCCTGTTTTTCTGTAAAATCACAGAAAAAGAGAGATGCTCGGGTCGAGCAGGCTGCTTCATGCGCGTTCACGCTCAGGCATCGCCCGTAGCATTTGCTCTCCGTAGCTTTAGTCTTTGTCGCTGTTCCTAACGCCTAGTGACAAAGCTAGCTACATTTTTGAGGACCCTTAGCTACTTTCTGTGGAACTTTCTTCTAGATATTTCCTGCAAATTAGCAACAAAATAGCCATTTTCGCTCCGAACCATTCTTTGATCATTGTTTCAGCTGTCAGCAAGGATATAAATGTTACAGATACAAAGGACATCACTGGTGCTTTAGTTCACCTAGTAAGACGTCAGACTCTCGTGTAGTAGACCCGGGCTCGATTCTGGATCTCAACAGTTTATTTAGAGTTTCTTTTTTACATTAATGGTACAATTTTTACAGTAAGATGTCCAAAATTTTATTTGAGACTCGCCGAACGGCATTGAATTCACAGATAAAAAAGATGTGGGTTCAACATTCATTTTGGAACAACTTTTCAAGCAAGGGAAGGGAATGATCTCAGCATGCAGGAGGACTGACCCATCATAAACCTTTGTCAGCTGTGCTGAAGAGAAAGGTACAGAACCAAATTATTTAATTAATTAGCTGCACGTTCTCCTGTCCTCTGTCCTCCGGGCCACACACACACACACACACACACACACACACACACACACACACACACACACACACACACACACACACACACACACACACACACACACACACACACAAGGGACTGTCTCAGCTGTTATTTTTGTTATGGAGTGTGCATGTACAGCATGCGCGCCTCGTGCACGAGCCTACTATTGAAGCTGCCATTACACTTTTGGCCTGAGGGGGCAATCGCGAGCATAAAAATACAAAACTCCGTAAAGTCCCTTTAACCTCCTCGTTAAAAAAAGTGTGGGTGTTTAACCTCCTCGTTAAAAAAGTGTGGGAGTTTCATCTCCATGCTAAATAAAAATTGTTGGTGTTTTACCTCCTCTTTTAAAGAAATGTGGGAGTTTAACCTCCTCGTTAAAAAAAGTGTGGGTATTTAACCTCCTCGTTAAAAATGTGTGGGTGTTTAACCTCTTCGTAAAAAAATGTGGTTTTTCTAACCACCTCGTTAAAAAACCTGTTGGTGTTTAACCTCCTCGTTAAAAATAATTGTGGGTGTTTAACCTCCCCGTTAGAAAAATATGGGAGTTTAACCTCCTCGTTAAAAAAAGTGTGGGCTTTTAACATCCTCGTTAAAAATGTGTGGGTGTTTAACCTCTTCATAAAAAAATGGGGGTGTTTAACCTCCTTGTTAAAAAATGTGCGTGTTTAACCTCCTCGTTAAAAACAGTGTGGGTGTTTAACCTCCTCGTTAAAAATGTGTGGGTGTTTAACCTCTTCGTAAAAAAATGGGGGCGTTTAACCTCCTTGTTAAAAAATGTGCGTGTTTAACCTCCTCGTTAAAAACAGTGTGGGTGTTTAACCTCCTCGTTAGAAGAAATGTGCGTGTTTGACCTCCTCGTTAAAAAAAGTGTGGGTGTTTAACCTCCTGTACAAAAGTGTGGGTGTTTAACCTCCTCGTTAGAAAAAATGTGGGTGTTTAACCTCCTCGTTAAAAACAGTGTGGGTGTTTAACCTCCTCGTTAGAAGAAATGTGGGTGTTTAACCTCCTCGTTAAAAAAAGTGTGGGTGTTTAACCTCCTGTACAAAAGTGTGGGTGTTTAACCTCCTCGTTAGAAAAAATGTGGGTGTTTAACCTCCTCGTTAAAAAACAGTGTGGGTGTTTAACCTCCTCGTTAGAAGAAATGTGCGTGTTTGACCTCCTTGTTAAAAAAAGTGTGGGTGTTTAACCTCCTGTACAAAAGTGTGGGTGTTTAACCTCCTCGTTAGAAAAAATGTGGGTGTTTAACCTCCTCGTTAAAAACAGTGTGGGTGTTTAACCTCCTCGTTAGAAGAAATGTGGGTGTTTAACCTCCTCGTTAAAAAAAGTGTGGGTGTTTAACCTCCTGTACAAAAGTGTGGGTGTTTAACCTCCTCGTTAGAAAAAATGTGGGTGTTTAACCTCCTCGTTAAAAAAAGTGTGGGTGTTTAACCTCCTCGTACAAAAGTGTGGGTGTTTAACCTCCTCGTTAGAAAAAATGTGGGTGTTTAACCTCCTCGTAAAAAAAAGTGTGGGTGTTTAACCTCCTCGTACAAAAATGTGGGTGTTTAACCTCCTCGTTAAAAAAAGTGTGGGTGTTTAACCTCCTCGTACAAAAGTGTGGGTGTTTAACCTCCTCGTTAGAAAAAATGTGGGTGTTTAACCTCCTCGTAAAAAAAAGTGTGGGTGTTTAACCTCCTCGTACAAAAATGTGGGTGTTTAACCTCCTCGTTAGAAAAATGTGCGTGTTTGACCTCCTCGTTAAAAAAAGTGTGGTTGTTTAACCTCTTCGCTAGAAAAATATGGGTATTTAACCTTCTTGTTAAAAAAAGTGTGTGTGTGTAATCTCCTCGTTAAAACAAGTGTGGGCTTTTAACCTCCTCGTTAAAAAGTGTGCGTATTTAACCTCCTCGTTAAAAAAAGTATTGGTGTTTAACCTCCCCGTTAAAAAAAGTGTGGGTGTTTAACCTCCTCATTAGAAAAAATGTGGGTGTTAAACCTCCTCGTTAAAAATAGTGTGTGTGTTTACCCTCCTCGTTAAAAAGTGTCGTTGTTTAACCTCCTCGTACAAAAGTGTGGATGTTTAACCTCGTTAGAAAAAATGTGGGTGTTTAACCTCCTAGTTAAAAAACGTGTGTGTTTAACCTCCTCATTAAAAAACATGTGTGTTTAACCCCCTCGTTAAAAAACGTGTGTGTTTAACCTCCTCATTAAAATAGGTGTGGTTGTTTAACCTCCTCGTTAAAAAACGTGTGTGTTTAACCTCCTCATTAAAATAGGTGTGGGTGTTTAACCTCGTTAAAAAAATTGTGAGTGTTTAACCTCCGCGTTTTAAAAATGTGGGAGTTTAACCTCCTCCTTAAAATAAGTGTGGGTATTTAACCTCCTCGTTAAAAAATGTGTGGGTGTTTAACCTCTTCGTGAAAAAAATGTGGGTTTTTAACCTTGTTAAAAAAGTGTGGGTGTTTAACCTCCTTGTTAAAAAAGTGTGGGTGTTTAACCTCCTCGTTAAAGGGACTTTTCAGACTTTTGAATCTTTATGCTCGCGATTGCCCCCTCAGGCCAAAAGCGTAACGCCAGCCGGCAGTTTCAATATACTATATTTCTACACTCTAAAATGGTCTAACATGCAGTTTTTCATTCAATCTAATAACTTCTATTCAAAACAGAATAAAAATATTGATTTGATCGACAGGCGGATTGGTTCAGCATCTGCAGTG